TTGTTGATGTTGTACAGAAAGACAATCAGTTGGTTTCTGCCTATTGATTTATCCTGCAATCTGGCTGAATGAGCTGATTAGTTCTGATAGGTTTTCAGTGCATCCCTAAGTCTTTATATAAGATGTCACCAGTACATCCTTTCCCACTGTAATTTGAATGCCTTTCTGGCTAGAACTTTAAATGCCCCCACAGGAGTGTTAGGACTGCATATCCTTGTATCTTCTCCCTGTCCTGCAGGGAAGAGGAATCAGCCTAACTCTGAGCATGAGACTGGCCCTGCATCTTCCTCGGTGACCCCTGGCAGGTGTGGAAGTCATCCTCCTGGGTTGTTGAGTGTTTCTATCATGGAAAGGGGGTGGAGTCTTTCTGCAGAATGTGGCTTATGGCTTTTATTCTATTGGTAGGTCATATGCTATACTGATTTTAGTGTGTTGAACCAGCTTGCATTCTTAGGATAAGCGCCACGTGGGCATGGTGTGAGTCCTATTGTGTGTTTCTGGGTCTAGTTGACTGCTATCTGTTGAAGATGTTACGTTTAGTCATGAGAGATACCTATGAGTGCTTTCTTATTCCTCTGGTTTAATCTGATTTTTGTTATCAACATAATACTGACATCATAAAACGAAAGACATAATCCTAATTTCTGGAAGCATTTAAAAGGGATTGCTGTTAGTTCTTTAAATATCTAGCAAAAATTCCCTTGAAGCAACAGGGAAGTGTATTTCCTTGAGAGATGTATTTTTGGGAGACTAGCACTGTTTCCATTTTCTATTTTATTGAGTCAGTTCAGCATGGAATTTCCATTTCCTCTAAGTTGTCTAAATTTCCTGGCATGTCATGGTGTCCCTTATACTAGTGAACCAGAGGTCTTTCCCTGGGATGCCTTCCCTCAGAGCCTCTTCTCCCAAGGGAAGGAACCTTTCCACGAGTTCCCAGCTACCTTATGGTTACTGTCTTCATAGTGGAGTATAATTAGCCGCTGTCCTGTTTGCCGGCTCCTCCTCTTGATCCAAACTATGAGGTCCTCGTTGTTGAGGATAATGTATTGTTTTCTGTTTATCTCTGGCACCCAAGAGAATGAACCTATCTCTCATACACATATTCTTCAAGCAACAAAGGATTGTGTACCCCATGCTTGAGCAGGACAAGCGATGGGAAACAAAGTAGTATAGTCTGAGTGAGTATTCTAAAATCACGATAGTGTGGGATTTCAGTGACTTTCACCACACATGTGAGGCACCAGCAAGTACATCTGCCTTATGGGACTGAAGAGGGGCTTTTCTGAAAGCGCCTCTCTTAAAGGTATGCTGGTCCTCTCATTTCTGTGTTCTGTCTGTCATCCTCTGGGGCTCACCCAGGAGATACGCTGCCTCACATGCTACGGGATGGCGTCTGCTGACCTTCTGTCTCTCTTTGTCTTTCTCAAGCAGCCTGTGACTCTCTGGCCGACACCGTGTTCAACACCGTGTGGACCCTGGGCTGCCGACCCTTTATGAACAGTCAGCGGGCAGCTTGCATCTGTGCAGAGGAGGAGAAAGAAGAGTTATGAAGACGCGATTCTCCTGGGCTTTGAGTGATACTACGGCTCCACTTCAGGGATGGCGGTGGACAGAGGGGCCGTCCTTTCTTCCAACCCTTTGGAGACTACGGGCTGGAGAAGGGAGACAGCAAGCCTCGTCCTTTGAGGAAAGCTAAGAAAAAAGGGATGCAGAGGCTGAAGACTGTCCACTCTAACACTGCTCTCCCAGTCAAGACTCATGAGCCTGGAAATTCAGTTCTCAGAACCGCAAGCAGATACCTTCCGATCACAATAGTCACAAGTGAAATCTGGGGGAGCCCAAACATTTGGGAGACAATGACTTTCCTCTGGCCCATGTTTCAGTCGCCAGTGAGCACCTCACATTTAATAAAGTGCACTTTTTAGAAAACGTGAAGAGAGATGAATGAATTCCGTTCTCACCGATAGTTGTATTTCGCTTAACGAGAACAGAATCTGGCCTGGTAAGTTCTGCCAATGAGGATTCTCCTGGGGGCTCCAGAGACAACAGGTAGGAAAGTGGAGGATTGGCGGATGAAGGTGGGCTGGAATTAGGGCCCCGAGGTTCCATTTCTTCCTCCAGCAGCCTGCCTCAGGTGGTATGTTTGGTCTGCCCTGGTTGGTATGCTCAGACTTGTAGCTGTGTGAGAGTCATTTGAAGATCTGAGATGTGTCTGGTTAGGGCTAGAAGACATGCTTGCAGCTGACAGGGAGTGACAGGCCAGTCCCTAAACTGTGGCCCTCAGTACTGACCATAGATTAGGAGTTCTTGTGGACCCTCTAAATGGAGGCAGCCAAGGCTCTGTTTGCTGTTCCTGGGCCACCTGTGACACTCTGCAGGTGTCCTGTTGCCCTGAGAAGGCCACCAATCTGGACCATAATTAGCCAACAAAGTCACACAGGCCAGCTTCAGCCCAAGGCCCGCTCTTTTGTGTGGCCATTGAGAACACAGCCACAATCTCTTTTTTATGTTTGTTTCTATTTGTCTAAAGCTGTTCTCACCCTGTAACATCAGAGAAAGAGAGGGATGACAGAGAGCAAAAGGTCCCAAAGTCTAAAACAGTCACCATTGACCATTTGTAGAGAAGCATTTCTGTTCTCTGACCTGAATTTCCCGCTTCCTCTCTTCCTAATTTCATTAAGTTGAACCAGAATTGTCAATCTCCCCACATGGTAATTAAAGAGAAAAGAAGGAACTGTTCATTGCAACCGCTTTGAGAAAGAAAAAGAAATCTTCACTGATCATCTTGTAAAGTCAGGAGTTAACTGGAATATCAAGGAGCCGTATTCAACCACAGATAACATTTATCTTTGTAGTTTATGATATTTATTTCAATAAAATTTATTGAGCACCTGCAAAGTAAGAGTATGATATAATTTGATACCTTTTCCTAACCAAAGGCACAGAATATAAATGTTCAGGGCATATGGGACCAAAATTCAGTTTTGCTTATAGTTCATTCCAGCCATTGAACCACTTACATGCATGCTGGCAATTTTTTAAATTGTTTTATTTTATTTCATATGTATGAGGGTTTTGCTTGCATGTATGTCTACACACCACATGCACGTCTGGTGCCTGAGGAGGTCAGAAGAGGCCATCGGATCCCCTGGAACTGGAGTTACAGACAGTTGTGAGCCACCATGTGGGTGCTGGGAATCGAACCCAGGTCCTCTGCAAGAGCAGCCAATGTTCTTAAGCATCTTATGAATTTGTTTTTATTGATAAACTTTCAACTCTCCTATAAATATTCCGTATTGGGGTTGGAATTTCAGGACATAATTATTATATATTTAGGAGATCATGAGTTATAGTTTTAGTAATATATCTTTTTAGGTTTTTAAATTAGAATTCTATTCCCAGCACCTCATTTTACCATAAATGAGGTATTTTATTGTAAGAAAGAAATAGAGAACATGAGGAAGCTGTCCTTCCATGGGGACAACATAGTTCTTCAAACCCAGAAACTGAAGACCACCTAGGTCACGGGTCAGTAGTGACAAAAGCCAGGGACAAAACCAGCTAATCAATCCTTTCACGTGGTAGGAGGGACTGTCTAGACTCACAGTCTATGGTTTAAAGAAGCCAGGTGTTCTGGGAGGTTCTCTGCTGTGCTCAGAGGACCTAGGAAGACATTCCAGAGAGGAGGGAGGGACTAGTCCTCCCAGTCAATGGTGATGGGGCCGCCCGTCAGTGTCTGGCTCCGCAGCCCAGCAGAGTCCTCGTCTTCCCCCGCCTCACGACGCACTCGCCGGTGGCATCCCTGGGCACAGCGGGAGCGTTCATCCAGAACCCCACAAACAAGGACACGGCAGTGAAGAAATACCTCCTGGAAGGAAGGTAATGATGGAAAAGCTGGGGTGCCAACTGTCACGGTAGGTGACGGCTGAGAGCCACACACAGTACCACATGTTCCCCAAGTGCCACCTTGGCCGTGGCAGCAACAACTTGAGGTGGCAGTGACAGTCTTGTATTTATGGACAGGAAAGTGAGACTTAGGAAAAGGAAGTTGTCCAGTCTACAAGTTGAGAAATGTGGCCAAGTTGGGAGGGAGCCACGTGGGTGACCTCAGAACCTAGGCCCACAGCTTTGGCATGTCGAAGAGGCCTTAGGGAAGCATGTCTCCTGACGTTAACATGTCAGTTCCTGGGCTGGAGTAACACTGGGGTCAAGGACTTCTGTGGTAAAGGAGGGAGTCCTTTCCAGAAGGATCTGCCTAGGGCAGGTTCAGCTGCTGAGCTGGAGTTCTGGGACAACAAAACGGCTTGAAAGGACCCTTAGTGGCTATGTGGAAAAGAATACTGCTCTGTGTGCTTCGTTTGGGCTGTGTTTCAACACTGGTAACAGCAGCAAAAGCTCCATCTGGTCAACCCCAGCCTCCGGGGACAGCCAGCTCCTTGTCCTCTTGACCCATACATACACATGCTCTTACGACACTTTCTTCATGCCCGCTTTTCTCATGTTCATAATTTTAAAAACTGCTTAATTTTGTACTATATAGATTCAGTGTAGCCCCCCGGTTATGATTCTTTGGGGGCCTCTTTCCCCCTCTTATGACCATGTTCTATAAACATACCCAGCAAACTGTTTTGTTTTTGTGACATTGCTAAAAGTGTATTTAGACAAAGTCATATGCTGAGTTAATGATCATGGCATACTAGCAGGTAACTTACTTCAAAAAAAAATTCAGTTTATACTGTCGCTGTTCACTTCCTATGGCTTCGTAATTGGTTGTTTCCCACACATTCCATGGGGAACATTCCATATTATTGTGTCCTATGATTAGCATTGTGAGTTCTAGTCTCTTCCCAGCCCATTGCTGCCGTTCTGTGAGATTCCTGTCTAAATCATTTGTTGAACTGACAGTAACATTGGCTTTTCCCCCTTATCTGCCCACAAAGATTTCAAATTATGGTCTTAAAATATTCTCTGTGCACAGCCATTTTATGCAGGAGTTGGGTGGGGCAGGCAACTGTAACATGTCTGAGCATTAAGTTTCTCGATAGCCAGGTGAACTGTATTCCCCCAGAGGATAGCAGAAGCTAACCGCAGGCTCTTGGAATGTCAACACATCAAGACAATGAGAAGGAAGGCTCGGGCATGAGGCTGTGAGACAAAGGTGTTCAGCTTACCTTGTGATCTTTGCCCACAAACTTGAAGACAGGGACCTGGAAGTGCTTTGCTAGGTGATCCCGGGATGAGTACTGCTTCACTGAGTCATCGGAGACACAGCTGAAAGTGGGACAGATAGCATGTCAGACGTGATCCCCTCCACAGGGTAGGAAACAATCCCGGCTAAGGCATTTGGCCCAGGGAGAGGTAAAGTGGATGGAGCGTGCTGGGCTGCATGCCATCCTTGGGAGAATAAAGGGTGAATGGCATCCCTTCCAGGCAAAGGCATCTTCAGACCTCATTAAGTAGGGCTAAGTACCATGTCTTCCCATCCTTCATCCATGGAGCCTCAGAGAGTACAGTACTTCTTGCTTGATTAAGGGTTTTATGTGTTAGAAGCACCAAAATGTGTTTCAGAGAGACCCTTGGCTACTAAGGTTGTCTTTCTATTGGTGATATATTGTTGGAATCTGGGTTAATACAGTTACCGGTGTGAGAAGGCTCTTCTTTAACTTAACACCCATTTCTTATAAGGAACACAAGCCCCGAGAGGGGGTACAAAGGGCAATGAGCCATCTGTGCATACACATTTAAGCTTCTCAGGTAACAACTGGCCTCAAATGGTTTCATTTCTCTTTTCCCAAATGTAACAGCAAGCTGCCCTTTCACAGTCCGTGGTCTTTGTCTTAGGTCAGTTTGACACATTGCTATGAGGTTCCTGTCATGGTCAGCTGGAGAAGGGACACATTAACTGACATGCTAAAGCTGTGGTTTTAGGTATTAGTGCACATTTTCTCCTGAGAAGCCAAGACTACTTTTGTGTGATTTGTCCCATTTTGTATCTTTGTGCATGTGTGCATGTACATGAGTGCTCACACAGAGAGAGAGAGATTTTTCTCTCTTGTATGTACTAAGGATCAAGGGGGAAACAGTACAGCTTCTTTGAGCTATCTAACAGAAGGTAACAGTCCTTCACCTGGAGTCCAAATAGCATGTAGATAAGCAGATTTCCCCAGCATTGAGACAGTAGGTGACTCATCCCCAGCGAGTGTAAAAGCATCTGCCTCTAAGCTGATCTCAATGCACCAAGGACTCCGAACCCACTATTCAAGGCACTGAGAGCAGCCTGAGAAGGAGCTGTGGTGAGAGGAAAACTAGAAGCTGAAGCAGACTAGAAACTTCCAGGGGAACTGGGCCAATAAGGGAAGGGAAGAACCGGAGAAATGTTGTGGGGCACACACTCGACCCTTCTCCCATTCAGTAGGCTGCAGTTCCTGACCACTGGAGATGTGTCCCAGCGGCCATTTAGGCCAAGGAAGAACAAAACCTTGATAGGAATTTGGGGAGCAGTTAGATTTTTATTGATACCACCACATACCTACAAACCCCAACCTTTCAGTGACGCCACCGAAATCTCAATATTTATTCCCCAGAATCAACCAAGAATTTCTTCTCTTTGCAACACTACCAACTTCATTTCTTACTTTTATTTTTGTGTGTATGTATGTGTGATGTATGTTCATGTTCAAATGGGTGTATGCATGTGTCCATGTGGGTACACACGTGTGCATGTGTGGAGGTGAGAGGTCAATGTCAGGTGTTTTTCTCAGTCTCTCTCCACCTTAATCATTGAGGCAGAATCTCTCACCCTGGAGCTCATAGATTAGGTAGACAGGGTCTGTCACTGAGCCTGGGGCTCATAGATTAGGTAGACAGGGTCTGTCATAGAGCCTGGAACTCATAGATTAGGTAGACAGGGTCTGTCACTGAGCCTGGGGCTCATAGATTAGGTAGACAGGGTCTGTCATGGAGCCTGGAACTCATAAATTAGGTAGACAGGGTCTGTCACAGAGCCTGGAACTCATAGATTAGGTAGACAGGGTCTGTCACAGAGCCTGGAACTCATAGATTAGGTAGACTGTTTAACCCAGGTGCAGTGGACTTCTGGGTTCTGGGGATCTGGTCCTCATCCTTGTGACAGGCTCTTCATGCACTGAGCCATTTTCCCAGTTCCCACGATCAAACTTCACGAAAGTGGAGTCTACGTTACTGGCTCAGTGTCTCCAACAGCCCTCCTTCTCCCTGACTTCTGGTCCCTCTGAGCAAGTTAGCCCATCCTTGTCACACTTCCTTTACCTGTAGTTCTGACTTTGTTCTTGAGACTACCACACATTTCTAGTGGCCCCATTGAACTTCTTCCTAGGCATTCCGTAGGCATTTCAAGTATAAAATTATTCACTCTGTTTTATGATCAAATTCAGTTGTATCTCAAATCTGCTTATTAAAAATTATGTAATAATTTTAAAAATAGAATAATTGCAATTAAATTTTTATCATTTGTTATTAGTAAATATAGTTATTTATTATGAAAATATAATATATAATATCACACACACACACACACACACACACACACACACACACACACACACAGAGCGAGGCAGTGCTCACCCATCCTGGATCAGGTAGTACTTGAGTATCTCATCCATCTTGGCAGTGGGCGTGGCGAAGCAGCTCTCCACCAGGCTCTCCAGGCCGCTCACGTGCACCAGGGGCTCAATGCCGAAGTAGAGTGAGTCGCGAAGCTTGAGTGTGGGCAGAGTCTCCCTGTACGGCTCCTCGAACTCGTGGTCCTTGAATATCTCCAGCGTGAAGGGGAAGATGCCGTGGTTTCGGCTCCTGATTTCCAGAGGCGCATTGCGCAGGTTGGGCACGTATCCTTCAGAGATAGTGTACAGTCGTGGAAACTCACAGGTCACAGGGATCAGCAGTTCGCTGGTCCGAATGATGATGTCCCCGCTGCTCCCAGGGGTCTGCTTGGGCAGACCTGTCACGAGGTTGCTGGCCACGATTTTGTCATTCACCACCTGTGCCGGTAAGACAGTCAGACTAAGCCAGCATGCTGGCTACTTCTTGGTTGGCCCAGGCATCCCTCCGGGGCATTAGGCATGAAAACTGATCTAGGGAGATAGCCAGCAAATCCCAAGCTCTGGCATCCAGAAGAGGACAGCACCACATGCTCTCTCGGCAGGAATTCCAGACTTAGGATTTCACTGTTTCTAAGTATCCCTGGCTTCATCCCGAATCTGCACCCACACTGGTGCTGAGGATTTTCAGCTGTTTTCCCTGGGAGTGGTACTGCCAGTTACGGGCTATTCTATCAGGTTATCCACAGAAACAATCCACACAGCTTGCCTCAGTGGGGAACCCCTGTTCCTCAGTAGCTACCTTGAATCTCACCCGCAGCGATCAGCCCTCTGACTCACTTCTCAGGACTCATAAATGATCACTAAGGCCTCTGCACTGACCTGTAAGCAGTCCTCTGTACATGATCCATCTTGCACACTGCCGGATCACAGGCCCCAGCTGAATCCCGTTTTTTGTGGACTCAAACCTGCGATTTCTCCCTACCACACAAGCCAGGCCTTCGGAAGCAATCTCTACCCCATGTCCTTTTCTGGTGAGGATTCCTTGCAGGGGAGGCTGCAAGGAATTTTCCCTAGCATGGACCTGGAGAATCCCTTAAGATTCTGCTCCTGTGTTTCCCATCAAAAGGTTCTTTGCCTCTTTGCTTGTGGGAGCTACACACACTTCTACCCACATCTAGGCCAGACATCCTTTTCATGGACTCCTGGAGTCTCTGTCATGTGTCAGACAGCCCAGCCCTTATTTACATTTTTTTTTTTTGTTTGTTTGTTTGTTTTCGAGACAGGGTTTCTCTGTGTAGCTTTGCGCCTTTCCTGGAACTCTCTTTGGAGACCAGGCTGGCCTCGAACTCACAGAGATCCGCCTGCCTCTGCCTCCCGAGTGCTGGGATTATAGACGAGTGCCACCACCGCCCGGCTCCCTTATTTATATTTTATGTGTTGACATCTCAGTACTGCGGTGAGCTTCCTAACAGGGAGGAATCCTCTGAGTTTCCAGTATGAGGGAGTGAGCATGTTTTGGAAAAAAAACAAAAACAAACCATAAACCTTTTAACCTCAGCCTGTCACAAATGAACCACCAGCCCTTTGGTCCCTATCATCCCCAATCTCCAAATAATTGGCCACAGAGGGTGGATCCTGCCTCTTGGTACCACTGGAGCTGATGTAGGAAAACACCTTGCATACAGGTTGCTCAGGGCTGTGTAAGAACAGGGATGGCTGAGTTATTCCATTCCATACCTCACGGTTCCAGGACCATGGTGCAGGGCAGAGGATGTTTGGAGCTCAGTTCTTTTGTGGGAACCTATCTCATTGACACAAGCCACACTTTACGCCCTCTGTCAACTGCCTTCCCAAGTAGAGAACTTGGGTCATTCCCTAAGTGTCCCCTGGGGAACCTACATCAACCACTGTGCCGCAGGTCTTGAGGGAGAAGACGATGTTGACGTGGGTGCCATTGGACACTCCTCGGCAGGAGTTGTTGGTCAGGAAGAGCTCCAGGCCACCAACCAGCTCCCTGGGGACACTCACTTCAATGGCGTTGGACTTGCACAACACGGGGACTGTGAGAGAGAGGGGATTCTGTTAGAACACGAAACCTGGCTTGGGGGGAAGGCTTCTAGGGGAGTACTTTCTCCATCACACAACCTGCACTTTCTGTTCCTTCCTCCAGGAAAGGGCTTGAAGCAAATTGATGAACACAATTGGGATCACTAGCTCCCAAGATTATGGTTAATGATGCTCCTCAAATCACATGTTCCTTTTAGCAGGAAATAGTGTGATTAAGCTTCATCTCAACAAACGCCTGTTCAAAGTGTGGCTGGCGTGGTTCCATGGAGTGAGACACCCCAAGGATGAACTTTAATGCCAACCCAGGAAAGGCACTGCTGACATGGGTCTAAACGGCACAACAGACCTGCTGTGTCTTGACCATTAATTGCTGCTCCATTAAACAGGTGATCAACAGTGTTCCTGCACTCTGGAAGCCTTCCAAATTGTCCTTGAGCGACTCAATAAACGGCAAACTCTGACTATAAATTCCACTTTAATGTAATAATAAAAAGAGTTTGCTCTTCTGTAGCATCCCTGCCCTCATGTCCTGTGACCCTGCAAAAACCCTGAAGGAGACTCGGTCCTTCTCCTCCCCCCCCCACTCCCTGCCCACCCCCACCTGTGAGCACACAGCTCAGCCGTGAGACCCATGAAGAAATCAGAAACGGGAGCTTGGTCAGTGTTTGCTGGCTGCTGGAATTATTATCCCAGACACCAAGAACTAGAACACAGTTCTCAGAACATATCAGTGGGGGAAGAATCCATTATTCATCATCATTCAAGCTAGTTTGGGCCCATGAAACTGTTGAATAAGGACTGGGTCAATACTTCCTAAGTGAGCAGTAATTGTACCGTTGGCTATAGAAATCAGAGCACTCAGAGGCAAGCAGCAAAGGAAAGTTAGCTTTTTTTTTTTTTTTGACTTAAAAAAAGAGAGAGAGACTTTCTTTCACTCCTGTCTGTTTTTGAGACAAGGTCTCACTGTGCAGTTCAGGTTGGCCTCGCTCTCAGGCAGGGCTCTGGTCTCCACCCCCCAAGTGCTGAATTTACAGATATGGCCGTCCCACCCTGCAGGGGTGTTCTGAATGATTCCGGAATGGTGACTCAGGAACTCACAGTGCTCAGAGAGTCAGTGTTCTGAAAGATAAGAATCTGACAGTCTTGGAGGAGGGAGGGCAAAGGTCGAGTGGGGGAGGGTGTGTGGATCCACAGGGAGTCAAACCTTGCAGTCTGTACTTTAACTTTGACAAGGTCACGTTAATGAATTTACGGATATCTCATTGAGTAAGGCATAGAGGTCATGTCTACCTTGGCAGGTGTGGTTATCTTCAGACAGCACCAAGCCCCTGGGACACTCGCACTGGTAGCCCCTCTCAGAACCAACGCAAGAATGGCTGCAGCCGCCATTGTTATTGTGGCATCCTTCAATGTCTGCAGAGGGAACCAACAAAAAACAAAACAAAAAAACGAGTCACCATGAGACCCTCTGCTGCAGGAATCCTAGCGTTAATCACCAGACACGATTCTGGATCCATGGCAGAATGCCTGTGCTCTAATGTGGCAAGTGAAACACGAGGTAAACCCAGACAACACCCATTAAAGGCTGTGACCGCCAAGAGGGACCTGACCCTCCATCCACAGCAACACTTCCCAGGCGCTCCAGGCATTTTGTAGAGTGTCTCTCACTTTCTCCCATTTTTTTTTTTTTTTTTTTTTTCGAGACAGGGTTTCTCTGTGTATCTTTGCGCCTTTCCTGGGACTCACTTGGTAGCCCAGGCTGGCCTCAAACTCCCAGAGATCCGCCTGGCTCTGCCTCCCGAGTGCTGGGATTAAAGGCGTGCGCCACCACCGCCCGGCTCTCCCATGTTTTTCTGTTGTTTTCCTCATGATTAGAGTGAGGTCATGAATATTTATGACCAAGACCCCAAAGCCATTTCTTAACTGTTGTACCATTTAATATATTCATATAAGTTAAAATGTTATAGACATATTGATGGATAAAAAGAGATTGAGTAAGGCCGAGCAGTGGTGGCACACGTCTTTAATCCCAGCACTTTGGAGGCAGAGGCGGGTTGGTCTACATATCAAGTTCCAGGCCAGCTGAGGGTACATAAAGAGAGCCTCTCTCTCAAAACAAAAATACCAACATTAGCATGTGGTTTCCTTTCTAATAGAAGGCTGGGGATCCTTCGATGCTGGGGATCACCGAGGTGCTCACCACGCTCAGTCAGCACCCTGCTGCTTCCACCTGCAAAATGACCTTTCTGAAGTCATTTTATTTCCCTAAATTGCAATTTCAATATTTGTAAGATGAAGGGGTAACCCTAACTGATCACACTGGGCATTTTCAGATCTAAAAATGCAAAATGAAAAATAGACCAAAAAATCTAAATTGCCTTGAAGGATTTCAGCCCCTGGGGATGATGGGGAGAAATGTTCAGAGTGGAAACACCTAGCAACAGAGATTGAGGATCATTTGCATTTCCCTCTTTACTTTTCTCTGTTTTCCTACTTATACCATAAACTATTCAAATTTACTTAAAAATTTAAAAGTATAATTAATTTTTAAAAAAGCCATAACCATTTAATAGCCACACTAAAGAAACAAATACATTTAGCCTTTCAAAAAAAGTTAAATGTTATAAATAGAAACAGTATTCCTAAAGTATTGCTCATATGGACACATAAAATTTTTATCATTTGCTAAATTTTTTCAGTTATGGTTATTAGGTTTTAAGGTTATATGAGTATTAACCATAATAGTCTCAATAAAGTGCTCATAAATAATTACAAATGTTCTTCAAGGAGTATTTTATTACTATTCACATATGCAAAAATTATTACACAAAATTATTAAGATTTAGGGAAGATTCCACACATTATCCTTATTCAATAAAATTTAAAATAATTTAGCCTTGTTATAAGGACAGCAATTTTGTGCTCCAGTTAACGTTCCCTGCATTAATAATGCAGACTTTGTTGGACACGACTCATAATTTTTCTCTTTGGAATGGTATTTTATTATCTTGAATGTGCCGAGAATACAACAAATTTTAATATAGAAATTACAGCTCTATTAATACACAAGTTCAATTCTCCTGAAGGACAAATCGTGTGTCCTCTGTAAATAATAACAACTATGCCATTACCTCTCCATGGTACTCTGCAGAGAACATTAGGGGAACTCAGATTTGTGAAAACAGATATAGTGTCCCTGTAGCTGTAACAAGCACATGACCTGAGTCCCACAAAACAGTGGCAGATTGCTGAATCATACCTAGTATCCCATAACTATGTGAAATGTATATCAATTAGGAAGTAAGAGGGTAATAATAGACAATTTCATTTCGACTCCTTGAAATACATCAATAAGTTTTTGGTTACTAAGCCATGTACACACAGCATCTCTGTTATTAAAAGTAGACAAGGGGGTTAGGGAGGTGGCTCAGTGGTTAAGAGCACTGGCCACTCTTCCGGAAGACCTGGGTTGGATTCCCAGCACCCACATGGCAGCTCACAGCCATCTGTAACTCTATTTTTTTTTTCCAAGACAGGGTTTCTTTGTGTAGCTTTGCGCCTTTCCTAGATCTCGCTCTGTAGGCCAGGCTGGCCTCAAACTCACAGAGATCCACCTGCCTCTGCCTTCCAAGTGCTGGGATTAAAGGCGTGCGCCACCACCGCCCGGCCATCTGTAACTCTAGTTACAGGTGATCTGACACACTTTCCTGGACTCTTTGAACACCAGATATGCACATGGTGCACAGACATCCATGCAGACAAAATACCCACACACATAAAAAGAAATGAATCTTTTTTTTAAAAAGGTAGATTATTTGGGGACAGGAGCGCTGGATCAGTGTTAAGAGCACTTGTTTTTCTGTTCCCAGCATCCACATGGTGGTTCATAACCGTCAGTAACTCCAGTTCCAGGAGATCCAATACCCTCTTCTGACCCCTGTGGACACCAGGCATGCATGTATGCTATACATACATGCAGGCAGGCAAAATACTCACATCCATAAAATAAAATAAAAGACTAAAAATTTTAAGTAAATAATCTTATCTCTAAAATATACGAATCTCCCCCAACACAAAGGAAAACATGACTCCGTGTAAAAGCAGTTTCTCAAATTTCTAAGACAATAAGAATCACCCATGGACGTTGTTAAAATTCTAAGTTCTGAGGCCCCATCCCAGCCTGCTGAAGCAGACTTCCCCATCCGGTGGGGGCTGGGTGGGAGGCCAGTCTCAGGCCCAGGAAAGTTGAGAGCTGCAGAGCATGCTCTGCTCCCCGCCACTCCTCTGGGAGCTTCTTGCCAGCAGCCTCAAGCACCTAGTAATGCATTATCTAGACACACAGTCACCTCAGCTTGACCCCACACCACTCAGTCCGAATCTGCACCTTAACAAGATCCTATGGGATTGGTGGGCACACTGAAGTCTGAGAAAAATGAGTATTACTCCATGTTAGTTTCCCCACAGCGTTCCACTTCTTGCAAAAACCCAGTCCTCTTCAGTCTTGAAGACGAAATCAATACTGAATTCTGCCCACAGCTTAAGCACGCCCGGTACCCACGAACCCCTTGTCACTTTCCTTCTGCTGACAAACTGTTATTCGCCTCTACCGCCAGGGCAGCTTCCCAAATGTTGCCTCCCCTCCTGACCCAGTCTTACCTTCACAAGTTTTCCCATCGCTCCTCAGCACGCGGCCCACCCCACACGCACAGCGGTGTGAGTTTTTGAGGTTGACGCAGATCTCGCTACAGCCACCATTGTTCTGCTCACATTCGTCTTCATCTGTAGAAGGGAAATCAAGTCACTGCCCCATAGCCGTCCCCAGCCCCTGGACCCAATCCCCACCTCTTCTCAGAAGCTGTTGGATACTCCTGTCCCCTGCTGTGAATCAGCATGGACACATCGACAGGCCTGGTCTCCCCAGCCAAGCTGTTTGTCCATCAGTAGTCGAGCAGAAGGTGCCTGAGTACCTGTGAGTTCCTATCCTTCAGGGTAGAACTATGGGGCTGGCAAGATGGCTCAGCCGATACAGGCACTTTTTGCTAACCTTGACAGCCTGAATTTGAGCAGGACACACACGGTGGAGGCTGAGAGCTGACATCCGGAGGTTGTCCTGTGACCTTCACATGCACAGCCTGGCACATGGGCATGCATGCACAATAAATACAGAAATGTAATAAGGTAAGGCTATTGGGAGGGATGAGGTTCCTTTTGTGTGCTGGGTAAACTTATTTGTTTTTATGAATTCCTCTTTCTCCAATGAGGTCATGAAAAATTGTTAAATGCAAGGTTATAAAATTATATTTTGTTTTAAATATAAAGGAGCTTACAGTGCAGAAGGAAATATCTAGCAAAATAGTGTGAGAGACAGTCTCTTCTGTTACTGCGTGACAAACCACCCTCAAAAGCTGACTTTAAAAATTGAAATTGTCTCAGCTGCGTGTGGTGGTGGCGCATACCGTTAACCCCAGCACTTGGGAGGCACAAACAGGTGGATCTCTGTGAGTTGGAGGCCAGACTTGTCTACATAGTGAGTTCTACAAAAACCAGGGCTACATAGTGATAGCCTGTCTCAAAAAAAAATTTCTTTTGAAATATTTTCATATTATATTTAAGAAATAGTTTCAGTCTATAAAACATCTGATGAGCTATGGATTTTTGTTGTAAAAAACATAAAATGGACAATAAATGTCTTTTCTCTCCTACAGAGGAAAGGAAGCTGAGAGTAAAGTGTGTCTTATTTCCTTGGAAGGAACCTGGATTCAGGATGTGAGCCAAGGGCTGGAGCTAAGATGCTCACAGTAGATCAGAACATGGTTTTGGGCCCAGGAAAGGAGATGAGCTGGGCGGAGCTCCACCTAACACCCAGAGCCCTGGAATAGGCCTCCCTCTTAGGGTTTGGGTATGGTTTAAGCAAGCCCTAAGGTTCACGTATTGGAAGTTTGGCCCCCAGTATGATGTGATGAAGTGGTGGACAGGCCTTTAAGAGGCAAGGCCTAGTGGGGTGGTGGGGAACACTGCCATTGGAGGTGACTAATGTGGCTCTTGTGGGACCCCTGTTCTCGACGCCTTCCTGTTTTTGCTTGTATTCCTGGTATACCATCTCCCACCAGGCCTTCCCTGGAGCTGAGTCAGTGTTGACAATGTACCACTGACCCTCCTTGAATTGTGAAGTAAGCTTCTTTTTCTGTATAACCTACCGAGTGTCAGCTAATTCATTATAGTTAACAAGAAGAACTA